TAAAAGTCCACCCAGACAGGACTGGCCCAAAGCAAGACCTGAAAGCCTAACACAGGCCAAAAGCACCTTCAGGCAAGGCACAGAAAAGGGTCAGAAACAGACAAGTCTGGGAGGAAAAAAAAAATCAAAATCAAGATAAACGCTGCCACAGTTAATCTCCCCACGGGTCTCTCAGACATGTCTCAACCAGTCCAGGACCAAAAAACAAGTGCAGTTTTTGTACATGTTCCATATGGCTCCCTCAGATCTCTTCTGGCTCTCCATGGACCTTCCTTCCTCTTCATTCTCCAGATTCTTCTCCTCCCTGCTCAGCTCCTCCCTCCTTTGGGTGGGGCAGGGAACCTGGAACCTCCATCTTTTCTGGGGGACCCCCCTGTTACACAATCATCACCCACCATCCATTCCTTCTGACTTATTTCACTTGGTATCATCCCTTTAGCTCCATTCAGGTTGCTGCAAATGGCATGAGTTTATCTTTTTTTGATCAGAAATCTGTAATCTGTATGAAGGAGCCTTAAAATAAAAAAAAAATAGAACTGCTATATGATCTAGCAATTCTATTCCTAGGGCTATGCCCAAAGGACACGAAAACACTAATTCAAAGGGAACTCTATGTTTACGGCAGCACTATTTATAATAGCTAAGACATGGAAATAACCCAAATGCACCAAAACAGAGGAAAGGATCAAGAAGATGTGGTCTATATAAACAATAGAATACTGCCAACCAAAGCAGATAGGATTGTTTAAAAACAGAATCAAAGAAGTGCTCAGAGAGAAGGGAACCTTAGAGCAGAGACCTGCAGATAAGATAGTGGATGCACCACCTGGTATCAGGAAGGAGCTTTCCGAGGGCAGAGTGGATGGGAAGGTCTCAAGGTCAGAGTGAGCTCGCAGGCTCTGGGATTCCTATTCCCAAAGCGTGGATGGAGGATGGGTGGCCTGTGGACATTTCCTGTGCATCCCAGTGATTCCGGCAGCGTTGCACCCTCGTTTTAAAAATCCAAGTCAGGTTTGGTTTTCATCATGGCCTCACATCCCTTCCTGGTTAGGCTTCATTTTTCTTGTCCTGATCGGATAACAGGGCCCATGTGACAGGCCTTCTTTCCTTAGGATTCCTTCACCTTCCATTGTACCTCGCAACAGCCACATACTTGTCTGCTTGTTTGTTCATTCTTTCTTGGTGCTTTTTGTTTCTTTACCATTTTCTTTCTCTCTCTCTCTCTTTTTTTTTTTTTGCTTAAGATTTATTTATTGATGCATACAGAACTGGGTACAGGCCAGAGGTGCAGGGGGGTGAGAGTATTCACCAGAAACAGAGTGGGGAGCAGAATAGGCAGATGTACTGAAGCACACTGCTGAGGGGAGCAGTGGGTGAGACAAGTCTGCCACGCCATGTGGGTTACTCGCTGGCCAGGGATTGAACTGGTGCTGAAGCAGCTGCGTCCAGCTTCGTAGTCTGCACTTTAACTCACGGCACCCAGGGAGGGCCCTCTTTTCCATTTTCCTTCCTCTTTTCTTCTCTTTATTCCTGCTTTCTTCCTTTTCAGTATCCCCTTGCCCCTTTCCTTTTTTATTTTTTAAAGATCTATTTAATTTATTTATACATACAAGAAGTAGGGTATAGGCAGGGGGTGAGAGGATTCACCAGAGACAGAGTGGGGAGCAGAACACCTGCATGGATCAATGAAAGACACTGCTGAGGGGAGCAGAGGGTGTGACAGGAGCTGTCTGCTGTGCCCTATGTGGATCGGCTCCCTGAACCAGGATCAAGTTCATGCTTCAGTGGCTAAGGAAAGCTTTGATGGAGGATAAGAATAGAAAAACCGGAAAGGACTCCGCAAGGTCAGGCACCTGCTTCATACAAGGAGGGGGGCAGAAGGGATTAACATAGACTTTCACGCAGCTATAAAAACTATCAGAGGGCTGTAAGGAGAGTTGGGGCACAGGCCTGAAGGTGAAGACATGGGGATTCAGTAACAAACATGCACAAATGAAGACGAGTCCCTCCCTACCGAAAGGAGATGATAAAACCCAGCACTGCCCCCACCTGTGCCTAGGCAGGGGCCCCTTCCCACCCCCTCTCTCCCTCTGCAGCTCAGCAGCCTTCTGCCTGCCTCTACCTGCATCTGCCAGGGCTCCTCTGCACTGGCCTCCCTCAGCACAAGCCTCCACCTGCGACCATGCAGACCTCTCTCAGCAAACGTGTCCCTTCGGGGCAGCTCTGCCCGCTTGTTCATATGCGAGGATCTTTTACTCCTCTGTTCCTTTTCCTAATAAACCTGTTCTTTGAAATATAACTAGCGTCTCTGGGCTGTGGAAAATCTCTCCGTTGCCGCTGAAAGGGGAGCTCTGGTGACACCTTTCCCAAGAGCGAACCCAAGGATCCGCCCCTTCGCTGCCCCCCACCCCCCACCCCACTACTCAACCCACCAACTCCAAATGGGACGTCAGCATCACAGTGCTGAGGTTTAAGCCCTTGCACCTTTTCTTTTATTCTTTTCACCCTTCACTTTTCTCTTACCGCTTGTTTGACGCTGGCTTTCACTGTGGGCATCCGGGGTCCCACCCCGCAAATCATTCCAGAGGTCAGGAAGGGGACCCCCCCTTTCTCAAGCCTGGGGAGGGGTGGGGGGGTGATCGCTCAGTCACCGGCAGCTGGTGGGACTGGCAGTGGGTGAGGAGGAGATGGAAGGGGCCAGCTCGGCGGCCAGGAGAAGGGGGGTGCGGGCCGGGACCCGGGATGGTGGCCAGATACCCGGTCTCGCCTCGCCGCAGCGCGTGCCAGGGCTCACAACTTTTCCAAGGCACTTCCCTTGACTGGTTTGTCGCGCAGCTAGGGATGCCCGGACTGCCAGCGCCTCGGAGGTAACGCCTTGTCGGGGTCCGGCTCCCTTAAGAAAAATGGGTGGAGAGTGGGTCGCACAGCCTAAGCTGGGAGCCGGACCGCAGGCGCGCGCCCGCTCCAGTTCGCGCCGGAGAAAGCGGAAGCCTTTTGGCCCTTTGGGGCCGCCGTCACCAGGGGGCGGGGCCCGGAAGGGAGCAGGATGGCGGCGCTCGGCAGTGACAGCGACGAGGATTTGGCCAGCTATGGGACGAGCCTGGAGCCGCTGGAAGAAGGTGAGGGCCCGATCGGTCGCCGGGCCTGTGGAAAATAGGCCTGAGGTCTAGGATTCGTGTCGAAAGCGCACAGTCTTGTGCCAGGCCATCCCCGATCGGGGGGAAGTCTCCCGTGCGCGCTGCGGGCTCTGGGAACAGCGACGGGAGAGGCGTGCGCTCTCCTGGCGGGGTGATCACGCTCTGAAGGGAGGGCTGGGGGACCCAAACGGATGGGGAATAGGAAAATGAAGAAACTGGCGTGCGTGAGAGCGGAGGAGTGAGCAGGCGATGTTTCCCTAGGAGAGGACCCTTGGGACAGAGGAAGGAACCCATCCTAGGAAGACCCGGGGAAGGATTTCAGGCAGAGGCTCTGTAGTCGGAGCCCTTTGGGTTAATTGTGGGACCACAGGGCCAGACTGGGGAAGCGGGGGTCCGTGGGGGAGACGTTTAGAACATGATGTCAAAAGGGGATGCAGGAGTTCGATCTTACTTGGTGTAGTAAGAGAGTTTGGATTTTATACCAAAGGTAGTCATTGGGGGCGTTTAACACGAGGGAAGGGTTACCTTTGAGGTTAGTTTATCCTCACTTTTGAGAATAAGAGGGTTGGAGATAAGCAAAAATGAAACAGGGAGATTGGTAAAAAGAGGTCTGGAACCGATGATGCCTTGGACTGGGGTGTTAGTGGGAGTGGTAAATGGCAGTCTGGGTTCAGATATACTTGCAGGTAGAGCGGATGGGCATGCTGGAGGTGTGGGCAAGATGAAGCAAGGTTCCAACCTCCTGTGTTTCTGGTCTGATCCATATAATGACTTAACTCATTCAGAAAAGATGCATTGAGCTCCCAGTAAGGATGATGTCCGTGGTTAGTCCTGGGAGAAAGACAGAGGAAGCATGGAGGGTGAGATGTTACTGTTAGACCTGTTGGTGGGATCTTCCTCCTACCTTGACCACATCCTACCAAGTTGGTTACATTTCTTCAGGGAATTTCCAGTGACTACTGTTCTAGACCCTAGAAACAGTTCTAATCATGAGAAACATGTATTCAATACTTGTCTCTACCCTATTAATAAATGACAGAAACACTGGTCTCCTGAAATCTTCTGGAGTTTGAACACAGCCCATGTATTTCCTCTAAGACATCTCTACCATTGTCAATATCTCCAGTTTTCTAATCAATTCCATTTAAAGACCCCTGAACCCTAACTTGTCAGAGTCTTTCCCTAAGTGTGGCACAGGGTGTACCGAGCAGGGCTATCACTAATATTTCTTTCTTTCTAGACTGACTTATCTCATACAGCCTAAGATCACATTGGCTTTATTGGCAAACATTTCTCTGATTGCAAAGAATTTACTGACAAAGAACCTTTATTTGAGGAGCTTCAAATCAAGTTGGAAACAGAAGTGCAAGGTTTACAAGTGCTAAAATATGTAGGAAATAGCTTGCACAAGCTAATGAAGATTGAACAGGCAAGGTAGAATCCCTTGAAAACTGGTCAGAATTTAGCTCTGCAGGAAGAGGACTAGGGTTGGTCTCTACTTCTTAGCATTAGAACTTTTTGAAAATTGATTGATTCATTCTCTCCTAAACACTTTGAAGTTTAAATACAATCTGAGTACATTTTACAATATAACATACTAGACCAATAATCACTTTACTTCCTGTTTTGAAATTTTAGTGACAGGTTAGATAAACATTGGTGGAGGAGGGACTGCACACTTTAATTAAAGTTGCCGGTCTTCATCAAAAGGTTTATTGGTTAAGACAATAAACCTAGAAGCTCACACCTCAACCCAAAGGCTCATAGGTGCTATGGTGAAGGAGGAAGGAGCAAAGGCATTTAGCGGCTCTTCCCACAGTTACTTTCACTTGGGTCTAGATTGCGTCCATCTCCAGCTTCTGTTCTTGGATTAATTTGAGGGCCATTTTCCTTCTACCTGATCCTCCCACTTAAAACTCTAGGGGTCCGGTCACCCATATCACATCCCACAGACCCCTCAGCTCATGTTCCAGACTCTCTACACTGTCCTCCAGCTCCACCTTCAACGACCCCTCCCTCATCCCCTAGTCAGCCGACTGTGCTCTAAACACCTGACATTGCCGTTTTACACCTCCTGACCACTGACTGGAATTCAGCTTCTGCTGAAATTGTGTCCCTATTGGCATTTCCAGGATGAGTGTGGTGTTGGGGTCCTTACACATTGTCAGAGAGTTCCTGCATGTGCTGCTCCTCTCTCCTGGGTTCTGAGCACCTGAGATAGGGCTACAGCTATGCTTAGTGACTCTCACCCAGGGTCTAGAACACGCCTGCTTCCATGGTTAGGCCCACAGTCAGCTTTTGTTCGGGACTGAGTGAAGGACTGTCCCCTTCTTATTTGGAGGCAGAGTTGAGATCTGATTTCAGCTCTGTGTTTATTAATTGAGGAGCTTAGAGCAGTTACTTACACAGACCAACCTTATCAGGCTCTGATACATGGGATAGGATGCACGAAAGGAGGATATTCGTTGTTATTAGGAGCAATAATTATGACATGCCTGCTGGAATGCCACCTTCTCCCTGGAGTTTCCCTGTGCTGCCGTTACAGGGGCGCTTGCTCTGGAGGCCTGTGAGACTATTGGGGCCTCGCCACCTGTTGTCACAGATCCCCTTAGTTGCCTGCCTCTCTTTATCTCCTTCTAGATCAGGAACACCTCAAGGCGCAGAGCGAGAATAGCACCCAGCACTGGTAGCATTCACCCTCTCTGACCTTAAGTGGTCTTACCTGGGGATGTTTTTGCCCCTCAGGTGACATCTGGCAAGTCTGGAGACCTTTTTCATTGCCATGCTTGAGGGGCAGGGTGCTACTGGCATCTAGTTCTAAAAGCTGGGATTCTGCAGAACTTTCTGTAGTGCACCAGACTGTCTCGGACACGGAATTATCTAACTCAAACTGTCAATGTGGCAAGGTGGGACAAATCCTGCTTAGCTAGGAGTCATGCCAGATGGCCACAGTCATGGAGTGTGTGCATGCTCTTTGTAAGAAATGGTGAAAATCTTGGATTTGAGATCTAAAATGTTAATCCCATATTTCTTTAAATTATTTATATATATATGTATATACATATATATGTTTACATTGTGGTTCATTTTAAAACAATGTATACTTACCCCCCCCCTCAAGTGTAGACCCCACAGAATTTCCTCCCTCAATGCACCTGTGCACCATCACCAGTCTCCTGTGCCCCTCCCTTCCTCCTTCTGACACCTTCCCCGTCTTGTCTCTGGTTTTATTGTCTGTTGGTTTTATTGTTATTCCCCCACACACACCCAGGCCTTATTTGTTTCCGAGATAATCCTCCTATAAGTGAAACCATTTGATATTTTTCTTTTTCCTTCTGACTTATTTCTCTGAGCATGATCCCTTCTAGCTCTGTCCATGTCACTGCAAATGGCATGTGTTTATCCTTTTGATTGCTGAGTAGTATTCCATTGTGTATATTACTACATCTTCTTGATCCAACTGTTTTGGGTTATTTGGGTTGTTTACAGGTTTTTCCTATAGTAAATAGAGCTGCAGTAAATTTAGGAGTGCAGGTATCCTTTTGAATTAATGTTTTTGTGTTCTTTGGGTAGATCCCTAGGAGTGGAATCACTGGGTCATGATTACCTTCTTTTTTTAAAAAAAAAAAAATGATTTTTTTTATGCATACAGAACTGGGGTGCATACAGACGTGCAAGGGTGGTGAGAGGATCACCGGAGACAGAGTGGGGAGCAGAACAGGCAGATCGATGAAGTACACTGCTGAGAGGAGCAGTGGGCGGGTCAGGAGAGGTCTGTCCCGCCTTGTGGGTCAGCCATGTGGGTCATCTCAGGGGCGGGGATCTTACTCTGAAGCAGGCTGCGGCCTGCTTGCAGTTCTGCATCTTTACCGTTGCGCCCCCAGGGAGAGCCCGTTATTACCTCCTTTAGAATGAAATAAAATTGTTGCTGATATTAACTGAGTTCACTATGGCCAGATACTCTCAGTTCTCTGTGAGTGTTACATAATCCTGGGCTTCACCCTATCAAGTGGGCTGTTACTGTCCTAACTTCACACTTGTGGAGGCTGAGGCTTGGAGAGACCCACTACCTGGACTGAGATCACAGAGCTAGCAAGTGGATCTCCAAGTCTTCGGAACCTGAGCTCTTGACACATGTTGTGGGTTATAATCCAGCCATGACCTACAGACTTCAAAAACTACAAAAATTGGGGATTCTGACACTAGACTGTCTTTCACTTTTTGTCCTATCTTTCATATTATTTTACCTTGTTTACTGCTGAAGGTGTCAGAGCAGTGGACAGGGGGGCTGCAGTGTTTCTTGTTCACAGTCCAGATGGTGGCCTGGGCAGCCAAACCAACATCCTCCCCTCCCCCTCAGGCCAGAGCCTGTCCTCGGAAACTTTTGACTTTAAATAAATTCAGAATTTTGAGGGCCTTCTCTGGTGGCTCAGTGGGTTAAAGCACAGAGGTATGAAACAATCGCAGCTACTGTGGCATAAGTTCGATTCCCTGCCAGCGAGGTGACCCACATGGTGCAGCGAACCTCTCCTGTCCTGCCTGCTGCTCCCCTCAGCAGTGTGTTTCAATGCATCTGCCTGTTCTGCTCCCCACTCTGTCTCTGATCAATTCTCTCTTCTTTCATACCTCAGCCCCCTGAATCCTCTCACCGCCCACACCTCTGGCCTGTACCCCAGTTCTGTTGCATAACTAAATAACTTTAAAAAAATAAATTCTGGGCCCTCCCTGGTGGCGCAGCAGGTTAAAGCACAGCACTAAGAAGCTTAAGCCACTTCCGCATGAGTTCGATTCCCGCCTGCCCCGGAGGTGACCACATGGCGTGGCAGACCTCTCCTGACCCGCCCGCTGCTCCCCTCAGCAGTGTACTTCGTGGATCTGCCTGTTCTGCACCCCACTCTGTCTCTGGTGAATCCTCTCACCCTCCGCATCTCTGACCTGTACCCCAGTTCTGTACTAATAAATAAATAAATCTAAAAAAAATAAAAAATAAAAAATAAAATAAATTCTGAACTTGAATTGGAGTTGATCAACTGAGGCAATAATTTGTGTTATAGTACCAGAAACTTTAAACTTAATGGATTTTCCGGCTAGACTGGAATATTTTAAACCCTTTTTGCTTGTGTGATTTAACAACCAGCCCTTTACAAAGCAGGAACAGGAGTAAGTTTAAAGAAAAGTATCTGGGATCAGGAGATTCCCAGAAATAATGACATTCTTAAAATATAAGGAAAATGGACATACCAAAGGAACAATGTTAGAGTCGGGGATGCTGTGAAGTTCTAGAAGTGATACGGGAAATGTTCCTTTACTGCCAACCTCTGTATGCCACCTGCTAGTAGCACCTTGCCTGCTTCACTGCCAGCAGACTCCATTTACGTGAAACCCTCCCAGTAACTCAGTTTCATAATGGAATTCAGTGGGGAAGTCAAGCCACTTTCACAAAAACATTTTTAATAAAGATAAGTTATCGGGCTCGCCCTACTGGCACAACGGGTTAAAGCATCACATTATGAAGCTCTCTGAAGCCCCTGCAGCACGAGTTCGATCCCTGGCCAGGGAGGTGTCCCACATGGCGCGGCAGACCTCTCCTGACCCACCTGCTGCACCCTTCAGCAGTATATTTTAGCCAGTCTCCCTGTTCTGCTCCCCACTCTGTCTCTGGTGAATCCTCTCACCCCACAAACCTCTGGCCTAAATCCCAGTTCTGTAAGCATAAATACATAAATCTTAAAAAAAAAAGATATCTATAATTATCTTAGAATTATAAAGAAGCTTGATAAAATGTATTATTGTGGAAACAACATATGCTAGTAAGGTCTAGGAATAGCAACTTAATTAAATTCTTTTAAGAGATGAATAGTTCATTCTGTTTAAGAAATGGCATTTTCAGGGCCTCCTGTCTGAGTTCGATCCCTGACCAGGGAACTGACCCACAAGGCCCAACAGACTCCTGTCTCCCCACTGCTCCCCTCAGCAGGGTATTTCAGATCCGCTTGTTGTGCTCCCCACTCTGGTGAATCCTCTCACCACCCCACACCTATGGCCTAACCCCCAGTTCTTCTGTGCAAAAAAGAAAAAAAGAGAGACATTTTCCTGAAACCCTTTCTAACCACATTCCCTGCTCTCTTTAACTTTCAAAATATATTTTTTTTTAGGTGCAAGACCTAGGAAGCCAATTCCTCTTCAGGATCAGACTGTCAGAGATGAGAAAGGAAGGTACAAACGATTCCACGGAGCCTTTAGTGGGGGTTTCTCTGCCGGATACTTCAATACTGTTGGCTCAAAAGAAGGTACAGTTCTCCCACTTACAGCCTAACATTGCTTAAGTAAGTGACTGAAATACCCTAAGACTTCCCTTCCTCGCACGCCCACCCCCTTTACTAACACAAGACAGTCTCCTATGCTGACTGTTTGGGATGTTTCCAGAGTCAACATGTGTGCTATCCATTGATTACAAAGAATAGTATCTGTGGGTGAGTTTCTTTCACTTTTGAAAAAGTAGATAACATTCTAGCCAGATAAGTAAATGAGGAGGATGCGTCCTTTGCGTATTGTACCTTGCCACTCCAAGTGGCATAGTGATTGGCTGTGGTGATGACATGTGTGTCGCGTCGCAGTGACTCAGGAAGGCAGGTGTTGCACGCCACTGGTTGTTTGAGCTGCTCTCTCCTGACCTTGGGGCTCCCACCATCACTTGTTAATATGTATGCTCCATCTGGAGAAAACAGGTGTGAATAGACAATGAAATGATTAACTCAGATAGCAATAATTAAGAATAAGATGGGGGGAACATGGAAGCAGCCCAAATGCCCAAAAGTAGATGACTGGATAAAAAAGATGTGGCACATCTACAATGGAATATTACTCAGCAACCAAAAAAGAGAAACACATGTCTTTTGCAGCAACTTGGATGGAACTGGAAAAGATCATGCTTAGTGAGATAAGCCAGAAAGAAAAAGAAAAATACCAGGTGGTTTCACTCATAACAGGAGTATAATGGACCAGGCAAGAAAATAACAAAAATAATGAACAACCATATACCAGAGACATGTTGTGGGGAATGGGATCAAAAACAGGGGGTGGGGGGAAGGGAGGGAAATGCATGGGACTATGGTGGTGGCACACGGGTGATTGGTGATGGGAAACCCGTGGGGATTACAATCGAGATGGAAAAAAAAATGTGCAAAATGATGTAAAAATAAACTTTTGTAATAATTAAAAAAGTAAAAAATAAAAAAAAAAACACCTAAAAAAAAAAAAGAATAAGATGGGGGGGGGGCTCCCTGGTAATGTAGGGGTAAGTCTTAGCACTATCATCGCTACAGCCTGAATTTGATCCCCAGCCAGGGAGGTGACCCACATATGATGCAGCAGACCTCTTTGGTCTCATCCGCTGCTCCCCTGAGCAGTGTATTTCAGTAAATCCACGGTTCTGCTCCTCACTCTGTCTCTGAGAAATCCTCTCACCTTCCCCACACCTCTGGCCTATACCCCAGTTCTTCTACACAAAAAAATACAAGGGGCCATATCTTTTGCATAGTTTTAAAAAAATGGCTCATATATATACAGTAGTAGTCAAACTAAAATGAAAAACCAAACAAGGAAGAAAGGATGCATGTAAGCAAACTAATTGGGGTCCATGACACGGTTGATACTCAATATCCAGAATGTGAAATGATCAGTTCAATGAGCAATTGACCAAACTACTACTCAAACATTTCATACTACAGGAGACAGCAATGCTATATGGAATATTCAGTTTTACAAGAAAAGCAGATTAAAGTCACTTAAGCCTTGTGAAAGTAGTATACTTATTAAAATGTTAAAAATGACTGTAGGGTTTTGAAGAAAGAAGTATACTGATCCTGACTGTTATAACGATAGCTATGTTGTGAAACTAAGAATTCAGACCAGTTCATGTGATTAGTCAAGTAGACTGGGCTATAGTTTTTGTTTTTTAAAAAAGATTTCTTTTATTTATGCACTCAAGAGTTGGGGTAGAGGCCAGAGATGCAGGGGGTGAGAGGATTCACCAGAGACAGAGTGGGGAGCAGAACAGGTGGTTGATGAAGTCTACTGTTGAGGGGAGCAGCAGGCAGACAGGAGAGGTCTGCTGAGCCCTGTGGGTCAGTTCCCTGGGGGTGGGGTTGGGGAGCTCAGACCTTAGAGGTTATAGCGCTGATACTTTGACCCCCGCACCACCAGAGAGACCCAGTTCTAAATTCTTATGGGGAAACCTCCCTGAAGCCACTAAGTCCTGACAACAGAGGATGTGGAGATTAGTTAGAAGTTTATGTGGAGTAGGGGCCTTCCTGGTGGCACAAGGAGTTAAAGCCCAGCCCTGGAAAGCTATCCACAGTCACTGCAGCACAAGTTTGATCCCCAGCCAGGGAGCTGATCTACATAGGGCTCAGCAAACCTTTCTTGCCCCCCTCAGCAGTGTACCTCAGAACATCTGCCTGTTCTGCTCCCCACTCTGTCTCTGGTGAATCCTCTCACCCCCTGCACCTCAGGCCTGTACCCCAACTCTTGTGTGTATAAATAAATAAATCTTAAAAAATAAAAAAGTTTATGCTTAAATAACTGAAGCTATTAGGCTAATATTTGAGGTAGAAAACTTTACACTATAATAAACGTTGCCTTTTATAAAATAAAAAAAAAGTTTATGTGGAATAATTAGCTGAGCAGCAATATGGGATGTAGCTTAGCGTTTGTAGTTATTGGGGGTTTCAAGTCACTACTTAGTTAAAAACCAAAACATGATCTGGGATTATAATGTTTTAAACTCTTCTCTCAAGGATGGACACCCTCTACCTTCGTGTCTTCACGACAGAACAGAGCAGACAAATCTGTCCTTGGTCCCGAAGATTTTATGGACGAAGAGGTGGGTGTGCAACACTTTGGCTGCCCGCTCGCTGCAGCGTGTGCGGTCGGCTGTCAGCGCCTCTCTTGCTGGAAAGCGCCATGTGCAATTTCCTCTTTATTTGTGAGACTTTCTGCCACAGGGCCTTGTTCTGTGGTACCGTGTGCATAGGGGGTTCTCATTCAGCGGAATAGTCCCTTAAGCCAGGTCAGTTTCTAAGGCGAAGCAGGTGAGGGGAAAACTGCGCCCAGGCTTGACAAAGCCAGAACTGCCCCAAAGTGGAATGCCCCTGGGCCGCAGCCCCCCAGTGCACACCGCAGGTTGAGGACCCACAGTCTGCACTAGAGAAGGTGTGCCGGGCACTACTTGCTAACTTCTTAGGGGTGATGGGAGTGGGACTCCTGGGGTCCTCTCAGCCTGTAGGCATGCTTTTTTGTTTCAGAATTCAGCTTCTGTTGTCTCAAAATCTGGGCCCTGTATTCATTCGTTTTCAATGATAAATACCAGACAGATAAAATACCAGCTGCTCTAGGCTGCAGGCAAGAGATAAAGGCAGGTCCCCTTCCTATCTGACTAGCATAATCTATAAGGTACCACAACTCCTGCACCGGAAGCCCAGATGCAGGCCCAGCTCGTCCGTGCGCCAGCTTGTCTTGCAGCGCCAGCACCAAGTGGCTGCAGCAGTGTGGGGCGGTGGAGTGGCACGTCCAGGAATCCATTATGCAGGGGACGGAGGACTTCTTTCTGGGTCTTTCTTCTGCAGAGTGGAAAAACCACTTACTTAAGTACTATAGTGGATTTTCACATCTGCAGGGGCAAATCGTTTTACAGGCCATTCTCATAAGCAATTCCTAGCAACGAAATGAGGTCAGTGACAGCCTTAGAAGAGACGAACAGCCCCGACCCCCTGACGTCGGTCCTACCTCCCCATCCAAGTCCCAGCGTGCACCCACACCTGCCGGGGCGCCGCTCCTGAAGTGCAAGCCCAGTGGAGGAAGGCAGCGCCTGGCCAGGAAAGGCCACTCTTTGTTGAAGGACTTAGAAGGGGCAGCCGCTATCGGTGCCAGTAAACGCAAAGGCGCTTGTCTCCAGGCCTGGCGCCTGTGTGCTCACAAACACTTGCTAACTGCGACTCTAAGGTTTGGCCCTTTCATGCTGACCTTTGAAATACTGTTTGAGAAGGACGGGGCAATTGCTTACAGTAAAACGAAGTACTTCCTGCCTTCCTGGCTGCCTGTGGTGACCTCACTCACTCTCTGTTCTACACCTCTGGCCTTAGCTTAGGTGACTCTTCCCAAGTCAATGTGTAAAGTCATTAGTCCTACTGATCAGTCGCTAGATTTTGCAGTTTAACTAATGGTTTAAAAAGAAAAGAAGGGCCCTTCCTGGTGGTGCATGGGTTAAAGCAGAGCACTATGAAGCTAGCTGCTGCTGCCTTAGCAAAGTTCGATCCCTGGCCCTGGAGGTGACCCACATGGCGCAGCAGACCTCTCCTGACCTGCCCGCTGCTCCCCTCAGCAGTGTACTTCGTACATCTGCCTGTTCTGCTCCCCGCTCTGTCTCTAGTGAATCCCCTCACCACCTTCATACCTCTGGTCTGTACTGCATGTCTGGATGCCTAAAAATAAATCTTTAAAAATAAATAAATAAAATTAAATAAGGCTCTGTGATGGGATATGGTCAGTCACTTTCCAAGTAACATAAATTATTGATTGAATTTTTTTTTTTCAGGATCTCAGTGAATTTGGGATAGCGCCTAAAGCAATTGTGACCACAGATGATTTTGCTTCTAAAACCAAAGACCGAATACGAGAAAAGGCCAGACAGTTAGCAGCGGCCACTGCCCCTATTCCTGGAGCCACTCTGCTCGAGGACTTCATAACACCAGCAAAGTGAGAAGAATTTGATTCTGATTTTTCTGATCTTGGCTGCACTGGTTTGCATACGGTGGTTTTCTTACTTAGGGATGATCAGACTGCAAGCGGGAGAAACTCACCCTAGCTTGAATACAAAGCGGGAGGGTTTCCAGAAAGATCTGACATCTGCACTAACATCACAAGGAAGTGTTCTACAGCACCAGGCGCTGGCTGCTGAAGCGCATGGAGTTGCAGAGCTGTTCACAGCTGGGTGCCTCCTCCAAGTCTCGGTGGCTCTGACCTGCCCCCTCACACCCCTCTCTACAAGCCTCCCGGTCACGCTTCTGGCGCATGGCCTGAAGTGGCGGCTAACACAGTCGTTTCCTGGGCCATGGTTCTATTGCAGGTGGGGAGGAGGGCTGAGCTCCGTGTATGTGCTGGCTGGAGGTCAGAGGCTGCTTCTTTCCTTGCTCTGGTTTTATAAAGCTCATTCTCAATGCCTTGATGTCCTAGATTGTCTGTTGGTTTTGAATTACTGAGGAAAATGGGCTGGAAGGAAGGACAAGGAATCGGTCCTCGAGTTAAGAGAAGACCACGCCGACAGAAACCCGGTATGCATGCTGGCTGGCTTTCATTTTCCCGCTCACTTACTAGTGCCTGCACATGTCTAGAAGTAAAATTGCAGGCTCAGGTGCACGAAGTTGAAGGCTTTTGTGTGTAGTACACAGTAGCTTTCCGGGAGCATTGTTATTTGGTTATGGTCCCACCAGCGTGTATGTGATGGCGGTAAATCTGCTCGCTATTCTGGCCAGAACTGTGTCACCGAGCAGCTGATTGTTCTGTTTACTCTTTGTCTCCAGCCAGGCTGTGAACTCTTGGGGGCAGCGATCAGTTCTTTCAGGTTCTCCGTGGGGCCAGGCAGGCCTGCTTACTCCCTGGGTGCCCAGGGGCAGAGTGTGGGAGGGTCGGGGCTGGGGAAAGCAATCCCGACTCATCGGTCTCCCACCTACGAACTGTAGCATCTTTTACGAGCGAGCTGTGTCGCGCTGGAGAGTGTCAGCGAGGCGGGTTTCTGTGTTCATGACTAATGCGTTTGAAATCTCTCATAGATCCTGGAGTGAAAATCTATGGCTGTGCCTTGCCCCCTGGAGGCTCGGAAGGCTCTGAGGTATTATAGGAATGACTCACCTTCTGGGTTTAGAAACATCTGTTGTTAGATTAATGTAAATTTTAGGATCAGAAACTGTTTTTTTAAAAAGGCTTATTTATGAAAGAAGTGGGGTACAGGCCAGAGGTGCAGGGAGTGGGGTGAGAGGATTCACCAAAGTGACAGAGTGGGGAGCAGAACAGACAGATCAACCAAAACATACTGCCAAGGGGATGAGTAGGGAGACAGGAGAGGTCTGCTGCGCCCTGTGTGTCAGCTCCCTGGCCGGGGATCAAACTCATGCTGCAGCGGTTGTGCTCAGCTTCACGGTGCTGCGTGCTAACCCCTTGTTCCGCCAGGGAGGCCCCAGGTCAGAAACAATTTTATAGGTCAGATTCTATTGCAGTGAAATGCCCCCACCCTGGCGCTGTCTTTGTCCTGTCCAGCGACACATTCCCAACACGCCGGCGCTACAGATCACCACTCTGTTCAGATTCTTTTTTTTTATTTATTTCTGCATACAGAACTGGGGTACAGGCCAGAGGTGCAGGGGCGGTGAGAGGCTTCACCAGAGACAGAGTGGGGAGCAGAACAGGCAGATCGATGAAGCACATTGCTGAGGGGAGCAGCGGGAGGGTCAGGAGAGGTCTGCTGTGCCCTGTGGGTCACCTCCGGGGCGGGGATCGAACTAGTGCTGATGTCTGCAGACAGCCTCTTAGTGCTGCACTTTAACCCCTTGCACCACCTCTGTTCAGATTTTTAATGGAGTTGTTAGTATCAATTGCTCATGGACTTGATTTAGCCCCTTGTAAGAGCATCTGTGAATGTCCAGTCATTATTCCGTTTGGAATTAGTCACTGACTGTCATGCAACAGGCGGTGACTCACTGCCATTCTACTTTTTCTATTTTGGCGATAGGATGAGGGTGACGACTACCTGCCGGAAAATGTGACCTTTGCACCGAAAGATGTCACACCTGTGGATTTCACACCTAAAGATAATGTACATGGACTGGCTTACAAGGGCCTGGATCCCCACCAGGCACTGTTTGGAGCTTCAGGAGAACACTTTAACCTGTTCAGTGGGAGATTTGAGGGCGGCGACAGTCTTCTTGAAGACATTGGAGTGAATAAAGGAAGAAAACTGGGGATTTCAGGCCAGGTAGGAGTGTTTCTGTGATAAACGAGAACCACTGACGAGTGAGAATACCTTCCTTATTATATTCACCACAGTGAGACGCATTGTTCCTTTACTGTACAAAGATGCCGGGGGGTCATGTTTTCCTTAGGCTCTCTTCTGGGGACAGGTAAACACACCTCCCTGATTCTGCTATGTGCCCCCGAGACCCCGTGACCTAATGACCAGGGTGGTGTTTGAGTGTTCCCAGGAGTCAAGTTGTTTCTCTGCTCACGTGTAGGGCTGAGCAGAAAACCGCACTGGCCCTTGCATTTACACAACAGTTGAGTGCCTCTCCAGGTTCGAATCCAGGTTTCTGCCGCTTGGACTGTGTCCACAGCTGTGCGCCTTAAGTCTGGGGCAGAGGTGCACATTTTATTGGGGAGACTTGCTTTTTCACCTTGGTAGGAACTGGAGAGTTCACTTAGCCTCTCATATTGACTCAGAGCTTCCTTTCTAAAGCATAGCTAGAAATTTTCATCATTATTCTCCAGACATTTTTTTTACGATCTATTTATTCATTCATTTATTTATTTATTTCTAAAATTTTTTATCACAGAACTGGGGTGCAGGCCAGAGGTACAGCGGGTGAGAGGATTCACCAGAGACAGGATAGGGAGCAGAACAGGCAGATGGACTAAAATACACTGCTGAGGGGAGCAGCAGGTGGGACAGGAGAGGTCTGCTGTATCGTATGGGTCACATCCCTGGCCGGGAATTGAACTTGTGCTGCAGAGGCTGCCGAGAGTGAACCCCTGCACCACTAGGGAGGCCCAATATGTGTTCTGTTTTCCCCCAGCCCTTTTAACAAAAAGCGTTTGCGGTGGGAGTTTCCCACAAAGATGGATTCTTAGAGGCGCGGCTAGGTAGCAGGGCCTTCAGATCCCAGTCACCAGCACTGATACGGGCCACACTGCTCAGCAGGTGAACATTCTGCCTTTCTTCTCTCAAGACCCCGTATCTCCCTGCGTGGCTACTTGGCTGTGCTCTCTTCTCTGCTTCCCGTCAGGACCCAGATCTGTGGCTGCAGCCAGGACAGCCCAGCACAGAGGGTCTCTGCCTTGTCAGTCTTCCAGAGGACTTGGTGTTCATTGGGGTGTTCACTGGGGCTCCCATTCATTTTTGAAGGCTTTTGGTGTTGGTGCCCTGGAAGAGGAAGATGATGACATCTATGCCACAGAGACCCTGGCCAAGTATGACACGGTCCTGAAGGACGAGGAGCCTGGAGATGGACTCTATGGTTGGACGGCGCCCAAGCAGTATAGAAGACAGAAAGGTAATTCTTGGCCTCACCTGACGGAGCCAGGTGTCCAGCTAGCAAGGAGCAGGGACTAAAAGAGTGATGCTTTTTTAATGAAAAGGGTGTCAGCCTCTATGGAGGGATGGCTTGTTGGTCACAGATGCAGGATGAGCAGCAAAGTAGGGAGCAGAGAGGCCTGACGTGGGAAGTAAGAGTGGGATTAGCCTGGGTGAAGGCCAAAGTCAACTGTCAAGGGGGAGGAGTGTGTGGACAGGTGCTTGTGTTGCAGGTCAAGCTGGAAGTGGGTCAAGGGAAGCACCCCCAGCTTGAGGGATGAGGCAGGTGGCCAGGATAGGCCAATTCAAGCAAGAGGTTAGAAGGCTAGGCTTGGGGAGCAGGTGGGAGGGACCCTGACAGCCTGCAGCAGGTGGAGATTGACACCCAGCCTTGTCATCAGTGGAGTCCCTGACTCTTTAGGGCTTTCGTTGGTGTAGAAGATGGGCCCCCCTCAACACAGACTGAGTTTCAAGTTGGGGTCTGTAGTGATTCAGATCCTAGGGATCTAAGTAGTATTTCCATATCCCCTTCCAGAAAAGGTGGGAAGGTGCAGGTGTGTGATAGGAAATAGTATTGTGTGATTCAGAGTCAGTCACGTGGGTGTAGAGCCAGGCCCTTACTGCCCAGCTTCGTGAGCTGGGGCCCATCATGTGGTGTGAGAGGATTCACCAGAGACAGAGTGGGGAGCAGAACAGGTGGATCTACTGAAATCCACTGCTTTGGGGAGCAGTGGGTGGGTCAGGAGAGGTCTGCTGCACCCTGTGGGTCACTCCCTGGCCAGGGATCAAACTTGTGTTGAGGCAGCTGCTGCTAGCATCACAGCACTGTGCTTTAGCCTGTTGGGCCATCAGGGAGGGCCCAGGGCTCATTTTTAAATTATTCTCATTTTTCCCCATGATCAATATAACTATAATAAATATTCTCACAGCTGTATCTTTATGCATATTTGTAGCTTATATCTTCAGAGCAAATTCACAAAATTGAAATTGCCGGGTTTTAAAAGGGTGCAAAATTTAAAGAATGTACAATAGAATCTCAAGTCACAGGGGACAGTCATTCCTGAGGGTGCTGCACCAGGTACTGCTGAAAACCCCAGAACCACTACACTGCTGGCCCCATGTTAGCTGGGAGTCCAGGCCGTGGTGGGCGTGTAGAGGAGCCTTAGGCCACAGAAATGCAATTTGTACATGTGGGTTTTTGACATATCATGCCTGGAGCTCCCTCAGTCTGTCTTTGTGAATGATGTTTGTCAGGGTGACCAGTGGATGATCCCTTGCTCCAGTCAGGCTGTTGAACATCCCCTTCCCAGATCAGTGATCTCTATCTCTTGTTAAAGATCCACTTATGGGCCCTCCCTGATAGCTCACCAGGGTAAAGCACAGCACTATGAAGCTAGCCGCAGCTGCTTCAGCACAAATTCGACCCCCAGCCAGGAGAGTAACCCACATGGCGCAGCAGACCTCTCCTGGCCTGCCCGCTGCTCCCCTCAGCAGTGTGCTTCATCGATCTGCCTGTTCTGCTCCCCACTCTGTCTCTGGTGAAGCCTCTCACTGCTCCTGCACCTCTGGCCTGTGCCCCAGTTCTGGATGCATAAAGAAATAAATCTTTTTTACAGAAAGAAAGAATCCACTTAAGAGAAAAGACCAAAGTACCTTTTCAGTTGTGCTAACGGGAGATAAAACAAGCTGACCTTGTTATTGCCTTGGGTGCCTTGTTTGGATAGTTGCTATGGAAACCAGGAGGCAGACTTCCGTGGCTTTTCACCTGGTGTTAGAAATGACTCACTATCTTAGTTTTAGTCGAGGTGACACTGATTTAGGACACTAGATGATTCAGAGGAGTAGGTTCACACCTTCCATGGATGTCACCACACCGCATCTGCCACCAAGCACCCAGAATCCTCTGCCACCGTCCACTGGGCCCCGCCACACCCTGTTCTCTCCTCTCCCCTTAATTCTATGGTCAGACTTCTAGATTTGTCATGGGTTTGGTCTGTCTGACCCTCTGCTTTGTTTCTCTATGGCCCACAAAAGTGGCTATTGACAGAAAAAATAGAAATGATGCTCTCACCATTGCATTTTTATTTTTATCCATACTTGTCTTCTTGATGGTTTTTCTTGAGATCTTTGCTGGTGTCGTTCAGGCACTTTCCCGGTACATGCCATGAAGGTACTCTTTGGGCCTCCCCGCTGCCAGCCAGCCCGCCGAGGTGGTGCCAGCTGGCCTGGCACTCTCGCTGTGCCAGCAGAGGCACACCTCTCATTCTTCCCATTTATTGCTTGCTCTGCAATCACAGGTGACATGCAGCGTTTATGTTCTTAGAGATAAGATGCTGACGTCTTTTATCTCAATCTGATTTTTTCTGCTTCTCTCATTAATCATTTTATAGAACCAGAGAAAGATCTTCGATACGTTGGCAAAATTTTGGATGGATTTTCGTTGGCTTCTAAACCTTTGTCTTCTAAGAAAGTAAGACATTTTTTTACAATTGGTGTTGGTCCTTAAAATGTTTGCTGCTTTGTAATTTGAGTTGTATTAGCCGTTGAAAAGGTAAGTCAGTTCTGGTTATAAAAAGCAATTGCCTACTTTTTTCTTTTTTTCTTTAAAGATTTATTTATTTGTGCGTACAAGAACTGAGGTGCAGGCTAGAGTTGTGGGGTGGAGGGTGAGAGGATTCAGTAGAGGCACAGTGGGAAATAGAACAGGCCGACTGACTGAAATCCACTGCTGGGAGGAGCAGCGGGGAGTCAGAGGTCTGCTGCACCATGTGGGTCACCTCCCTCACGGGGGATCAAACTGCCGCTGCAGATGGCTTCATAGTGCTGCGCTTGAACCCGTTATGCCACCAGGGAGGGCCCAGCAGCCTAGTTACTCTTGATCTACTCTTGACCGTGGAGGACAACATTCTGTATTAGAAATGTCAGTTGGTGTTCACATTGTATTCAAAACATCTAAATGTGAATCTTTTAAGTTTAAACGTCAAGGGAGTAGTTGTTCCCAGTAAAATGAGTGACAGTAGAAGCTGAGGGAGTATGTAGCTCAAGGCGAAGGAGAACACTTTCCAGGGGCCCAACAGCCCACTGGCCTGACTCCTGCTGGGTCCCGGGAGCGATTCCGCCAGCAAGGAGAAGAAGCTGACAGAAGCTGCTGGATGCAGGTGAACTCTATGGAGAACGCCACACAGCTTTCCTCTTTTCCAGAGTCCTGCTTTTGTGAGATTCTGTTTAGGCCAAGCCCGGGGCTCACGGGTGGGCACCACATGTGAGTGTGGGTGCTGGTAGCTCAGGAGGGTCTCAGGCCTGCAGCACCTGCCCTCTTCCCTTGCTGGCACCCCATCTTTACATTGTTCCACAGTTTAATCAGATGTTTGTTTCTCACTCAGCAAACACTTGTTAAGCACCATTGTGATGTGGCCTTCGGTTCTCCAGAACAAGGGGGCCAGTGCAGCCCACGGTAGCACGCTGGCTATTACAGAGGCTTTGTTTAACCATGACAGTGGAGCCAGGCAGAATATCCTTAGAGCAGCCCTGGATGCGTAATACGCTCTTATCAACACTAGAAATGTCAAACAGCATCAAAGGAGAACAGGAAAAGGAAGCGTTCGCGTGGTTGGGGAGCCCTCGCTCCTTCTGGGCTTCAGGGCAAAGTCCTGTGCAGCGAGGGGATACCCCAAGCCTCTCCTGTCTCACTCAGTGCTCCCCGCTGCAGTAGATTTCAATATACCCCCCCTTTCTTTCTTATTTTTTCTAAAAGATTTATTTTTATTTATGCTTACAAGAACTGGGATGTAGGCCAGAGGTGTATATTTGGGGGTTTGGTGGGTGGTGAGAATATTCACCAGAGACAGAGGGGGGAGCAGAACAGGCGGATCCACTGAAATACACTGCTGAGGTCCCTGGCTGGGAATCGAACTCTGCAGTAGCTGGTGATAGTTTGCTGAGACTTTAGTCCCTGCACCGCCAGGGAGGCCCTAAATCCCCGTTTGCTGTTCTCCACCGTCTCTGGTGAGTTCTTTCACCCCGCCCATCCAGCCTATGCACAGCCCTCACTCTGATTCTTCCCCTCAACAAAGTCACGTACATGTCCCTGTGCCTCGTCCTCTCGTGCTGCTTTGCACTCTGCATGCTGGAACACAGGTGTCTGCGGCTGATTTGGGGGTCTGTGTTTCAGAAAAGGTGATCAGGCTAACGTGACACAAAGGAGGTTTCTTGACAATGGCAATACCCTGTCTCATGGGCTTCCTCTCTAGGCTGCACGTTCAGCCGCCCGGGAAGCTCCGTGGCGCTGACTTTGAGGGGTGGGGTGCCGACCTGGGTATTGCCTGAACCCTCCAATGAGTCCACAGCGCAGCTGGGCCAGAGCCACAAGCAGGGGGCGGCAGTGCTCTGCCTGGTACAGGCTGAAAAATCTAGATCATGAGGACTGTCCTTCAGTGTGTGTGTGTGTTAGACCGTGAGCAGGGAAACCATTCAGTTCAGTCATTAAAAATAACTCGTATGGGCCCTCCCTGGTGGCGCAGCAGGTTAAAGCACAGCACTGAGAATCTAAAGCCGCTTCCTCATGAGTCCGATTCCCGCCTGCCCCGGAGGTGACCACATGGCGTGGCAGACCTCTCCTGACCCACTCGCTGCTCCCCTCAGCAGTGTGCTTCATCGATCTGCCTGTTCTGCTCCCTGCTCTGTCTCTGGTGAATCCTCTCACCCTCCGCATCTCTGGCCTGTACCCCAGTTCTGTACGAATAAATAAATAAATCTTTAAAAAAAAAAAAAAAACCTCGTACGTTTAGGCCCTCCCTGGTGGCGCAGTGGGTTAAAGCACAGCACTAAGAGGCCAAAGCCACTTCAGCATGAGTTCGATCCCCGCCTGCCCCGAGGTGACCCACATGGCACGGCAGACCTCTCCTGACCCGCCCGCTGCTCCCCTCAGCAGTGTGCTTCATCCATCTGCCTGTTCTGCTCCCCGCTCTGTCTCTGGTGAAGCCTCTCACTGCCCCTGAACCTCTGCCTGTACCCCAGTTCTGTATAAATAAATAATCTTTTAAAAAAAAAATCTAGTACTTTCTTTCAACTTGGCAGTTTTGCCACTATTAAAGCCTGGCTGAACTCCCCAGATATTTCAATTTCAGGTCAGTCAACTTCTGAATTAAAATTACCTTGGGTCAAAAAATAAGGCCTGAAGTTGCAAGTTGGGGCTGAAACAGAATCAGTAAAAGGATTCTGAATTCAAAAGCAGCTTACTTTAAAGTCACTGGCTCTCCCTACACCTTCAGTCCTACGTTCCTGAATTTCCTGACCCAGTGGGCTGCTCGCCACGCACTGTGCTGTTGTTTTCTTTGTTGTTCTCAGCATATGGAGCAGGCTAGAGATTAGCATCTGTGCAGAAGAGGGAAGGTGATAATGAAACTGTGACCCTCCCAACCCAGCTGGACACAGGGATGTGCTGTGCCCAGTTGCCATATAACTGTAGCATATTAGCCTGGGAGGCCTCCCTGGTGGCACAGGGGTTAAAGTCTCTGTGTTATCAAGCTAAGCCAGCCACTGTAGCCTGTGTTCAATCCCTGGCGAGGAAGTGACCCACAAACAGACCTCTCCTTTCCCCCCACTGCTCCCCTCAGCAGTGTATTTCAGTAGATCTTCCTGTTCTGCTCCCCACTCTGTCTCTGGTGAATCCACTCACTCCCCTACCACCACACCCTGGCCCACACCCAGTTCTATGCATGAATAAATACAAATAAAACTTAAAAAAAGTAGTGTTAGCCTGGCAAAGGGCAGGGTTAACAGCAGACAGAGGGAACAAGTTTTCTTGGGTAAGTCAAACATGCCCATCTTGCAGCCTGTACTTTCTGAGTTCTGCTTTGATTTTTCAAGACGTATCCACCACCTCAACTGCCGAGAGACTACCGGCCGGTGCATTACTTCAGACCTGTCGTCGCTGCAACCTCAGAGAACGCCCACCTCTGTCAGGTGCTCTCACAGTCAACTGGAAAGCCAGCACATGATGCAGGGACACAGAGTAGGCACCAGCTGAATGCCTCCAGGCGGGGCGAGCTGCTTGGAGAAACGCCAACTCCAGGTATATGCCGTGGAGAAGAGTAAACCCACTATGCTTGTAATAATCTGAGCTAACAGCATCAAAATGAAAGTTGTTATTCTCCCAGTGAAAATTCTGACAGGATTTTTATCCTGTGGGGGGCTAGAATTGTTTCTTGTGAATGGCATGCAGAGTAGACTTACTTTTCCATCCGCTTGAGTTGTGTCATTAGACTTACAATCCTTGCCTTAAGTTTAGCAGTGTTCAGACTTCTAACAATTGCCCGGAATGCAGTGAAGGCCAAGGATCATGTGCACCTCTCTTTCTCCACAAAAGCTGGGAACACAGGATTTTTTTTCTCGGGGGTGAAGGGTGTCACAATTTTTCCCCTGAAAGCCCACAGGGAATGAATGCATCTGAAATTGGGGGCAAACGGGGGGAGTCCCTGTAACGTGGAGCAGAAAGACCCATGATAAGCAGTGAGCCATTGGGAGCAGAAAACAGGCAGAAAAGGCGGAGGGACGAGAAAGTACCCCGCCAGGCGGGTTACTTCCTTTAAGTGGTGTCGGGGTCTGCTGCTGCCGGCCATAACAGACTGACTGGTTTATGATCACACTCCCGAGAGAGGCTGAAACTGGGATAGCTCAGGGTTTGAGTCCCAGCTCGGTGATGTGGGGCTTAGCACCGGTGACTCCATGCTGGGCCTCGTCTCGTTTGTGATAACTGTAGACCAAGCGGAACTCGTGGTTCTTATTTCCTCCCCAAACTTCTTCCTCCATTCTGCTCAAGCCAGAATGTGGGAACCCTGATTCTTAGCTCCCCTCTCTCCCCGCCTCCCACCCTGCCTCCCTCCCCGGACCCTGCCCACACCCGACACGCGGGGGGCCCCGTCCACTTCTCTTCGCCTCTGTGACAGTCTCCTTGCCTTCCACTCCCTTCAAGAAATTGGGAGTGGAACCCCGTGAACTAAATTACACCACTGCCCACCTTTAAATGCTCCAGTACTTTTCACAATGAAGAAAACCCCTAGCTCGCCGTGAGGTCCTGCGGCCCAGCCCTGCCTGCTTTTCAGACCACATCTTACGTCACTTCCCTTAACTGGAGTGGTCAGACCTCAGTGTCCTGGGAGCACGGCGATGCCTCAGGGCACCTGGATTTGCAGGTTCCTCAGCCTCTGCTCTTCCCTCATGCTTTGGCTTCTTTTTACTTACAACTTGCCTCAAATATTGTTCTTTAGAGGCCTTCCAAGTCCTCCTGCCCAACTTGTTAGCTCATTCTCTTCTCACTCACAGCTCACCCTGACATTTTTTAGTCCTCCTCTGTGTCAGTTTTGTGCTTCTTTAATGTCTTTCTCTCTCTCTGGTGAGAGCGGGATCACATCTATGCTGTTCCCTAAGCCCAGACCAGCACCTGGCATGGGGGGGACGGGGGCGGTGCTCAAGGGGGTGTTGACATGAGCGAGTCCTTGATGGTTAGCTGTGCTCCGAATTGGTGCTGGGCAGGACTGGGAATGGGTCACCACAGACTGGGGCCCTCATTTTGGGAGCACTCACTGACCAGAGAAACATCCGGGTATGAACGTCCATCCATATGTTAACACTGAGGAGGCTGTGTCGTGCTGCAGTCTCATCCCCAAGGGTAACATGAATATAAAGGAAACTCTCAGTGTAAATTCTGCATCTCCAAGCTCACAAATCTGGGTCCTGAACACATGAACCTATCACAGAGGATATAGAGAAATGCAAATAGTTTTCTCTTGGGATACTTTCTCACATTATCATTTTTTTTACTTAGGTTCAGCTACTTCGGTGTTAGAATTTCTGTCCCAAAAAGATAAAGAGAGAATCAAAGAAATGAAGCACGCAAATGACCTGAAGGCAGCCCAACTCAAGGCCAGGAGTCTGGCCCAGCAGGCCTCAAGCAGCAGGCTCCAGCCTTCTTCTCCAGACGTCGGACATAGCGCTTGGCACCTGGCGTGGAGCAGTGGGTCAGCCAACGCAAAAGCCAGCAACTTCAAGCCTTTCGCCAAAGATCCAGAAAAGCAAAAGCGATATGAAGAGTTTTTAGTAAATATGAAACGGGGTCAGAAAGGTGGGTGGTCGGCCCAGATCCCCCAAGTCTCAACTGCGATGGTGTCCTCAGTTGGGTTCTGGCCCGAGTCCCAGATCTGGAGTTGAAGGACCCTGTGCAAACAGCACAGAGGTTTCAGGCCCTGGGCCTGAAGGGGCTCTCGACCGGAGAGAGCAACACAATTAGCTTGTGTTTCTCTCTATCTCGGGGCCCAGAGGTAACTACCCAAGTAAAGAACATGTTTTGGCAGTGGCTTATGCTAAATCACAGGCCATTTGCTGTTTGCAAATGCATGATTACCAAGAGAACAAGGTCATCGCCCTGCTTTATCTCAAGGGCCTGGCCACTTAGCCCGCCATCACAGCCCAAGTAGACTTCAAAATATTACTGATTGTTGAACCATGATAATGGGGGAAATCAGTCTAAGATCTGTAAAGTAAAATGCTTAGCCTCCCTGGGGGCCTAGGGATTAAACTCAACAACAATATCAAGCTGTCACCACTGTGGCTTGAGTTCGATCCCCAGCCAGGGAGCTGACCCACAGGGCACAGCAGACCTCTCCTGTCTCCACTGCTTCCCTCAGCAGTGGGTTTCAGACAGTCTGCCTGTTCTGCTCCCCACTCCACCCCCGGTGAATCCTCAAACCCCCCCACCCCCACCGCGCATCTGGCCTGTACCCTAGTTCTATATGTATAAACAAATAAATCTTACAAAAAAAAAAAAGCAAAAATGCCAGCTAGAAGAAAAGCACTACTTTTCTACGAAATCCTTGCGAGAAGTTGGTTGCTTAAAGTAGATCTTTCCCTACAGTGCCCTCACTCCCTACTAACCACACCCTAATGTTCACTTATTGAAAGAAAAAAAAGGAAAGAGTGTTTTTCTATCAAAATTTAGGAATGAGCCCTCTGGGAATAGTAAGTTCCTTGCTTCAAAGATGGAGCCAAACATTCACCCCTACCTGCTTTCTTCTGTTAGACAGCAGCCAAAATTAGTGAAATCATTTTGAGGAAGAGAGCAAAGTTCCCTGCCAAGCCCCTCACCAACATGCTCTCAACAGTCAGGCCAAAGATTGGGTCTCTGCTGGGCCCCAGCATCCACGGCACCCCAAGTGCTCTTTCTTTAAAAAAAAAAATGATTTCTTTTAATTTTTTAAAACTTTATCTATGCAACAGAAGTGGGGTACAGGCCAGAGGTGCGGGGACAGTGAGAAGATTCACCAGGGACGGATTGGGGGGCAGAGCAGGCAGATGGATGAAGCACACTGCTGAGGGGAGCAGCCGGGAGACAGGAGAGGTCTGCTGCGCCATGGGGGTCACCTCCAGGGCGGGGATCAAACTTGCGCTGAAGTGGCTGCAGCCAGCTTGCAGTGCTGCGCTTTAACCCGCTGCGCCACCAGGGAGGGCCTCTTTCCTGAGTGAAGCGGGCTCTTGCCTCTGCTCCACAGATGCCCTGGAACGCTGTCTGGACCGCAGCATGACGGAGTGGGAGCGGGGCCGAGAGCGGGACGAGTTCGCCCGGGCAGCGCTGCTGTACTCATCATCCCACTCGACCTTGTCCGCCAGGTTCACCCACGCCAAGGAGGAGGACGACTCAGATCAAGTTGAAGTCCCTCGAGACCAAGAGGTCTGTCCCCATCATGTCTCTGGTGAATGTATAAGTTAGCTGTGGGCCCAGACATTTCAAGGTCCTCAGGAAAAGATCAAAATACGCTTGGCATTGTAGGATGGGAAATGAACTCTGCAGTTTTAACTTCCAGTGTTCTTCAGCAATAACACTGTAGCATAAGCCGCTCTGTCCTTCTGGAAGCCAGCTTGCAGGCTTTGAGGTCGGCGGCAAACAGGATGAATGTCGTTTCCTCCTAGAACGACGTCAATGACAAGCAGTCGGCTGTGAAGATGAAGATGTTTGGGAAGCTCACCCGGGACACGTTTGAGTGGCACCCAGACAAGCTTCTCTGCAAGAGGTTCAATGTCCCCGACCCTTACCCAGAGTGAGTCCGGTGAACCTGCCTTGACATCAATATGTACCCCCATGGCAGAGCTGGCTTCCCCCCTTTTATTTAGAGCTGTATTTTTATGTATTTATGCATAGAAGAACTGGGGTACCGGTCCCAGTGGGGGGCGGGGTTGAAAGGATCCACCAGAGACAGAGTAGAGAACAGAACAGGCAGATCTACTGAAACACGGCTGAGGGGAGCAGCGGAGAGGCAGGAGAGGTCTGCTGCGCCCTGTGGGTCACTCCCTGGCCGCGGATCGAACTCAAGCTGCAGTGGTGATACTGCTCAGACTTAACCCCTGGGCCACCAGGCAGGACCTGACTTGCCCCTTTACATACTGATATAAGTCTCTTATTCTAGAGGAACTTACTTGTTGAGATTTACATTAAATCTGCTCTCACTTCTATTCATTTATTATTAAAAATGAACAATCATCAGCTAACAAACTTAAGTTCCTATCAGCAATATGAAACACAGAGGTCAAGTTGCAAAAATTATGAAACAAGGAACCTTTTCAACGATACACAGAGTTACATATAAACATTACTTGGGTTTTCTAATCTTTTTTCCTTTGATTATCAACACTGCCAGAAAGTGCATACAGTTGAATCAGAGACTGCAGAAAATGTAGGTATATTTAGGTATTTTTAGCAGCTGAATTTTTCCTTAGTGGAAATTCATTTTGAAAGTTAAATTCTAGCTCTTACTGTAATACTTCCTGTAATCGCGTCCTAAAGTTAGCCAATCTATTATTTCTTTCTTTTTTTTTTTATGTTAAAGAACTGGGGTACAGGCCAAAGGTGCGAGAGGTGAGAGAACTCACCAGAGACAGAGTGGGGAATAGAACAGGCAGATTGACTGAAATACACAGCTGAGGGGAGCAGCAGGGAGGCAGGAGAGGTCTGCTGAGCCCTACGTGGGTTATGTTCCCCAGCCGGGGATCGAACTCAGACCATAGCAGTGGTAGTGCTGAGTAACCCTAGACAGGCCTTTTGGCCAGTCTAAATTCTTACACTGCTTTTTAGAAGTGAACACACCTTAGGGGAGCTTTTAAATCAAGTCGAAGAGCTACTGGTGGAAAAATATGTGCTGAAAAGCTTTACTGGGTGGATATTATTATCCTTATAGTTGTCTTTAAAATCATGTATATTTTTCTTTGCCACCCAGTTCCACGATAGTTGGCTTACCAAGAGTGAAGCGTGACAAGTACTCAGTCTTCAACTTTCTGACCCTCCCAGAGACAGCTTCTTCACCCACAGCTCAAGCATCAAGTGAGAAAGTACCGCAGCACCGAGGTCCCGAAAGTGAGTCCGGGGAGCTCTGGCCTGTGGTCACCACGCCTCATCTGGTGGGGGCCAGAAACAAAGGTCCCGTGGGCCTCATGACGCACCCTTGTGAAAGCGCCCTACATTAAGAGAGTTGCTCATACGAATGCATTGGCTCCCATTGTTTGGGGTGCCCTGTTTGGGGTGCCCTGTTCAGCAGCCTCCGCCATGTCAGCAACACCTTCCACATGCCGGGCCCATACTGGGCTTGCTGATGTTCTCCAAAGAATGAAAGAGCCACAGTGGAGAATTTGCCTTTCTTGCTGATATTGCTGTTCTATCTTTGTCTCGCTTTTCAGAATCAAGAAAACCCTCTAGATGGGACACATCGAAACAAGAAAAGAAGGAAGACTCCATTAGTGAATTTTTGAGTTTGGCCAGGTCAAAAGTTGGCCCATCTAAACAAGAGTCCAGTCCACTAGTAAGCAAAGAGGAGGAGCCTGCCACGGGATCAGCCTCTGATAAGGTACTTGGGGCATCCAGGTTCTCTTGACCCCGCTGACCATGACCTTCGCCTTCTTTATTTTCCTTTTTTAAGATTTATTTATTTATTTATGCATACAAGAACTGGGTACAGGTCAGCGGTGCGGATGGGGGTTGAAAGGATTCACCAGAGACAGAGTGGGGGGCAGGACAGGCCAATTCACTGCAATCCACAGCTGAGGGGAGCAGCGGGGAGACAGGAGAGGTCTGCTGCACCCTCTGGGTCACTCCCTGGCCGGGGATCGAGCCGCAGTTGCTGCCCATAGCTGATAGCACTGACACGAACCCCTGCACACCAGGGAGGCCCTAGTAGGGCTACTGTACAGTCAGATCATAAACACCACAAAAATGAATGTCTGTGAACGGCCACAATCTAGCCAGGCAGTGACTAGATGTGGGGACGCATGCAAGTGAGCATGGCAGACGTGCACGTGTGTGCGTGTACGTCCCCGC